AGATACAGCACTGCTACAGCCAGTAGCCTTGTTTAAGTACTTAGGGGTCATGTTTGACTCGGACATAAACTGGAAATCGCATATAGAAAAGACATGCTCCAAGCTAGCATATGGGTGTCACACGCTACTAAAAGCCCGTGAATGTTTTGGTGCATCGATTTTACGCATCCTATATTTTGCATTCGTGCACAGTCACTTGAGCTACTGTATAGCATCATGGGGCAGTACATATAAAACTCATTTGAAATGTATTAGCCGCCTGCAAAAGAGGGCAGTCCGGATTATCACATACTCAAACAGGATGGATACTGCAAAACTATTGTTTCAAATGATGTGTGTACTTCCAGTGGACTCTGTTCACGTGTCCAGTGTTGCTGATATAGTGCATGGAATAATAAAATGTGATGACCCATTCCCATTAAGCACCTTTACGTTACCGCGCACTGTACAAGAGATGCAGTGGATCACTGCTTTAATTTACCGGTAGCAGACTCTGCCGGTAGCCAGAAATGTCTACGGTCGAAGGCTCACAGAATTTCATGGCGCTCTCATATGGAATGCGATACCGACTGATGTGAAAGAGTCTAGAAATTTTTCATTGGCCATGAAGCATGCACTTCGTGCAAACTTTCTAAGTAATACGACTGTATAGTCATTTAGTATTATTAATATTATTATGATTATTATTATTCTAGTACTATTATTATTATTATGAGCAGCGATGGCGTAGTGGTTAGAGCATCCGCCTCGCATGCAAGAGGTCCGTGGTTCAAATCCCGGTACCGCGCAGTTCCCAACCGGATTAAAAAAAAACAAAAAAAATCCGCGTGTTGATGGAACTGCATTAAGAGGCCTGGGGTGCGGCCTCACCGGCAAACACCGCCGAGAACGCACTCCCTCACCAGAGAAGGATTGGCCACCCTGGTGCAGTATCTGGCCACTACCTCCCACATGCTTACGTCAAATAACTCACGGCCCTCAGTCCCCAGCAGCTGCGAAGCAACTGACCACGGCGGCGGTCAGATCTGCAACGCAGCAGAGGGTGCTAAGAATCTCTGGATCCGGACAGGCCGCCATTGGAACCTGAACTTGGCAACGTTTAACGCTAGAACCTTATCTAGTGAGGGAAGTCTAGCTGTACTATTCGAGGAGCTAGAGGGTGTTAAATGGGATATAATAGGGCTCAGTGAGGTTAGGAGGACAGATGAGGCCTATACGGTGCTACAGAATGGGCACGTCCTTTGCTACAGGGGCTTGGCAGACAGAAGAGAACTGGGAGTGGGGTTCCTAATTCACAGAAACATAGCTGGCAACATAGAGGAATACTATAGCATTAATGAAAGGGTGGCAGGTATCGTAATTAAACTGAATAAAAGATACAAAATGAAGGTAGTACAGGCTTACGCGCCTACATCCAGCCATGATGACGCTTCAGTTGAAAGCGTCTATGAAGACGTGGAATTGGCAATGAGTAAGGTAAAAACACAGTATACTATAGTGATGGGCGACTTTAATGCAAAGGTAGGGAAGAAGCAGGCTGGAGACCAGGCAGTAGGAGATTATGGCATCGGTACTAGAAACGCCACAGGAGAGCTACTAGTAGAATTCGCAGAACGCAATAATTTACGGATTTTGAATACCTTCTACCGAAAACGAGAAAACCGCAAGTGGACATGGAGGAGCCCTAATGGCGAAAATAAGAACGAAATAGACTTTATAATGAGTGCACACCCTGGAATCGTTAAGGATGTGGAAGTGATTGGCAAGGTACGATGCAGTGACCATAGAATGGTACGGTCTCGAATTCGCCTAGACTTGAAGAAGGAACGACAGAAACTGATACGCAAGAAGCCAATCAATCAGCTAGCACTGAGAGGGAAAGTACAGGAATTCAGAGTGTTGCTACAGAACAGGTACTCGGCTCTTAGTGAGGAAACCAACCTTAGCGTGGATACAATGAATGATAATCTGACGAGTATCATTACGGAGTGTGCAGTGGAAGTTGGAGGCCGGGTAGTTAGACAGGACACTGGCAAGCTTTCCCAAGAAACGAAGAACCTAATTAAGAAGCGTCAAATCATGAAAGTGTCAAGTACAACAGACAAAATAGAACTGGCAGAGCTTTCGAAGTTGATTAATAGACATAAGGTATGCGATGTAAGAAGGTATAACATGGAGAGAATTGAACACGCTCTGAAAAACGGAGGAAGTGTCAAAGCATTGAAGAGGAAACTTGGGATAGGCAAAAGTCGGATGTATGCACTAAGGAACAAAGAAGGCAAAATAACTACCAATATGGATAGGATAGTTAAAATAGCGGAGGAGTTTTACAGAGATCTGTACAGTAGCCGAGACAACCACGACCTTAATACTATAAGAACTAGCAGTAACCCAGATTACACCCCACCAGTAATGATAGAAGAAGTCAGAAAAGCTTTGGAGGGCATGCAAAGGGGCAAAGCTGCTGGTGAGGATCAGGTAACATCAGATTTGCTGAAAGATGGAGGACAGATTGTGTTAGAAAAACTAGCCACCCTGTTTACGAGGTGTCTCCTGACGGGAAGAGTACCTGAGTCTTGGAAGAACGCTAACATCATCTTAATACATAAGAAAGGAGATGACAAGGACTTGAAGAATTACAGGCCGATCAGCTTGCTCTCTGTAGTATACAAGCTATTTACAAAGGTAATTGCTAACAGAGTAAAGAAAACATTAGAATTCAATCAACCAAAGGAACAAGCAGGATTTCGAACAGGCTACTCAACAATTGACCACATTCATACTATCAATCAGGTAATAGAGAAATGCTCAGAGTATAACCAACCACTATACATAGCCTTCATAGATTACGAGAAGGCGTTTGATTCAGTAGAAATATCAGCCGTCATGCAAACACTGCGAAATCATGGCGTAGATGAAGTATATATAAACATTCTGGAAGAAATCTACAGGGGATCAACTGCTACCATAGTGCTTCATAAAGAAAGCAACAGAATACCAATCAAGAAGGGTGTAAGGCAGGGGGACACAATTTCCCCAATGCTATTTACCGCGTGTTTACAGGAGGTTTTCAGAAGCCTAGAATGGGAGCAGTTAGAGATAAGAGTCAATGGAGAATACCTTAGTAACCTGCGCTTCGCCGATGACATCGCATTGCTGAGTAACTCGGGGGACGAATTGCAACTCATGATTACGGAGTTAGACAAGGAGAGCAGAAAGGTGGGTCTTAAAATTAATCTGCAGAAAACGAAAGTAATGTACAACAACCTCGGCAAGGAGCAGCGCTTCGAGATAGGTGATAGTGCACTTGAAGTTGTAAAAGACTATGTCTACTTAGGGCAGGTAATAACCGCAGAGCCGAACCACGAGATTGAAGTAACTAGAAGAATAAGAATGGGGTGGAGCACATTCGGCAAGCACTCTCAAATTATGACAGGTAGATTGCCACTATCCCTCAAGAGGAAGGTATATAACAGCTGTATCTTGCCGGTACTTAGCTACGGAGCAGAAACCTGGAGACTTACAAAGAGGGTTCAGCTTAAATTGAGAACGACGCAGCGAGCAATGGAAAGAAAAATGGTAGGTGTAACCTTAAGAGACAAGAAGAGAGCAGAGTGGATTAGGGAACAAACGGGGGTTAAGGATATCATAGCTGAAATCAAGATGAAGAAATGGAAATGGGCAGGGCATGTAGCGCGTAGACAGGATAACCGCTGGTCATTAAGGGTAACTGACTGGATTCCCAGAGAAGGGAAGCGGGTCAGGGGGAGACAGAAGGTTAGGTGGGCAGATGAGATTAAGAAGTTTGCGGGTATAAATTGGCAGCAGCAAGCACAGGACCGGGTTAACTGGCGGAACATGGGAGAGGCCTTTGTCCTGCAGTGGACGTAGTCAGGCTGATGATGATGATGATGATTATTATTATTATTCTTTGCTATAAATAGCTATGTTCTGTGCTATGTTTGTTTGTATAATTCAATCATGTTTTGGTTGTTGTTTTTTTTTTTCTCTTTTTAAACATTGTATCCAGTTTGATGTCCTTTGGCTCTGTGTAACCGCTTGCGCAACTATGTAGGTATGTCACACAATTGGTCCCTCTACTAGCCAGTTAGGCTATGGGACCAAACAAGTGTTTGCGAAGTTTTTGTTACATGGATGTGAAAGTTACAATTTAAAAAAAAACGCTATTGCAATATATTTACGTTTTTGTTGGACATGATCGTATGTTCAACAAAACTTGTATATCCAACACAAAATCGTATGTCTAACACAAACTGGCATTATTAGCTTGCAACTGTGACGAGCACTGTGTGTGGTTGTGACGGAAGAAAAGGAGGCGGAAGGGCTGTGAGCGCGGCATTCAAAAAAAAAAAGTCAAATGCAGTGTGAAGGCTTAGGTTATAAAAAAGCCCGTCTTAGGTCACCTCGTGACATAAGAAAGCCTGTTTGAAACGAACCTGTGGCACGTTGATCGAAGCATCACTGAAAAAATCCAATAGAACAGTATACATAACGCAATCGACACTCCCTAATGAGCTGCTCAATGCTATATGTCCACACTTGGTCCTAATCAAGTGGAACATGAACTGATTTTTGCTTGTTTAATGAAAAAATAGCCTAGTCACGCTGATGGTCCCATACTTTAGAAACATTATCAGATCGAATTTCTGGCCATGTTGAGCGCCGCACTTGTCAAAAAAATAAAGAAGTGCGAACTGAAGATGCGGTTAACGTGGAGCTTCATCGTACATGCACATCTTGATAGAACGTGCCACGGTTGTTGTTTTTTTTTTTTTTTGCCCTCTGAGGCGATCAGTTTTCTTGGCCTTGTGAGACCATCTAGCCAGAATGGTGTAAGCAGGCGACTGCTTCTCATTATAGTTGGTGAAATGTGCTCAATCAGTGATGTGAACTCGTTTCTCTCTCCAAGGAATGCTATTTGTACAAAACATTTTCTGTATCCGTGAACTCTTGTGTCTGATTTTTTTGCATGCATGCAGGTACTTATGCATGGGCCTTTCTGTTGAGCGGCGTGCCGAGGTGGGCCGTCGTTGCAAGCTCTTACTGGACTCAGCCAGGGCGAAGTACTTGTCGGCAAGGAGGCTCACTTCCCGTCTGGTATACTTCATCACGCCGGACGTGACTCCCGAGAATGTTGCTATCGTGGCCACTGTTCCTGATGTAGTAGCCCAGATGAGAATGTCATCCGCTACTTTTCAACTGTCTGACACACCAAAGGAAGAAAACTTGTGTAGCGAACGGCAGCTTGAGTTGGACAGCTGAAAACTCTTCTTTACCGCAAGATGTATTTTCTTGCTATTCACGAGAGTGCGGAAAAATAAAACATGCTGCAGTGAGAGCCTTACATCTCTGCCCTCTCCATTGCTATGACAAGGGCCACGTCGTGCTTATTTCGTGCGTTTTGTTTTTATTATGTTCGACATGGGCATAGCAAAAATGTTTGACTTTAAATCATTGCATTGCTTATTCACTAAATACCAAACATAGTTACCTTTACTGCTTCCCCAGAACCGGTTGAAAATAGCTTGGCTCTTAACTTCCTTTGTTTAAACATTTGTGAATATGGTGAAAAAGCTGGGGACTCTCTCAAATAAATGTGCTGAAATAGTCGAAAGTACGTTGAAGGGACAATGTTATGATACCTCAGTGACTCGCAGTGCATGGTAACATTGGGTTTCTGCTGTCGTGAGGAAACTAGCTGGTGATGTCAGTTTCCATTTATTTATGTAGCATTCTGTTCCACAAAAGGAAAATTCCGTGAAGCCAATGCATTTTTCATTGAAATGGCAAATTATACCGTATTTACTCGCATAATTTTCGCACCTTTTTTGCCGGAAAATTGATGCAAAGTTGGTGGGTGCAATAATTACGCGGGGAAAACTTTCCACGAAAACGTACAGAGCGAGAAAGAAAACGAAGTGGCCGCTAATCAGGATTCTCACACCAGCAACTAACAGCAAGCTTTCATTCATTCATTCATTCATTATCAGCCTGACTACGTCCACTGCAGGACAAAGGCCTCTCCCATGTTCTACCAGTTAACCCGGTCCTGTGCTTGCTGCTGCCAATTTATACCCGCAAGCTTCTTAATCTCATCTGCCCACCTAACCTTCTGTCTCCCCCTAACCCGCTTCCCTTCTCTGGGAATCCAGTTAGTTACCCTTAATAACCAGCGGTTATCCTGTCTACGCGCTACATGCCCGGCCCATCTCCATTTCCTCTTCTTTATTTCAACTATGATATCCTTAACCCCCGTTTGTCCCCTAATCCACTCTGCTCTCTTCTTGTCTCTTAAGGTTACACCTACCATTTTTCTTTCCATTGCTCGCTACGTCGTCCTCAATTTAAGCTGAACTTTCTTTGTAAGTCTTCAGGTTTCTGCTCCGTAGCTAAGTACCGGCAAGATACAGCTGTTATATACCTTCCTCTTGAGGGATAGTGGCAACCTACCTGTCATAATTTGAGAGTCCTTGCCGAGTGTGCTCCACCCCATTCTTATTCTTCTAGTTACTTCAATCTCGTGGTTAGGCTCTGCGGTTATTACCTGCCCTAAGTAGACATGGTCTTTTACAACTTCAAGTGCACTATTACCTATCTCGAAGCGCTGCTCCTTTCCGAAGTTGTTGTACATTACTTTCGTTTTCTGCAGATTAATTTTAAGACCCACCTTTCTGCTCTCCTCGTCTAACTCCGTAATCATGAGTTGCAATTCGTCCCCTGAGTTACTCAGCAATGCAATGTCATCGGCGAAGCGCTGGTTACTAAGGTATTCTCCATTAATTCTTATCCCTAACTGTTCCCATTCTAGGCTTCTGAAAACCTCCTGTAAGCACGCGGTAAATAGCATTGGGGAGATGGTGTCCCCCTGCCTTACACCCTTCTTGATTGGTATTCTGTTGCTTTCTTTATGAAACACTATGGTAGCAGTTGATCCCCTGTAGATTTCTTCCAGAATGTTTATATATACTTCATCTACGCCCTGATTCCGCAGTGTCTGCATGACGGCTGATATTTCTACTGAATCAAACGCCTTCTCGAAATCTATGAAGGCTATGTATAGTGGTTGGTTATACTTTGAGCATTTGTCTATTACCTGATTGATAGTATGAATGTGTTCAATTGTTGAGTAGCCTGTTCGAAATCCTGCTTGTTCCTTTGGTTGATTGAATTCTAATGTTTTCTTTACTCTGTTACCAATTGCCTTTGTAAATAACTTGCATACTACAGAGAGCAAGCTGATCGGCCTGTAATTCTTCAAGTCCTTGTCATCTCCTTTCTTATGTATTAAGATGATGTTAGCGTTCTTCCAAGACTCTGGTACCCTTCCCGTCAGGAGACACCTCGTAAACAGGGTGGCTAGTTTTTCTAACACAATCTGTCCTCCATCTGTCAGCAGATTTGATGATACCTGATCCTCACCAGCAGCTTTGCCTCTCTTCATGCTCTCCAAAGCTTTTCTGACTTCTATCATTACTGGTGGGGTGTCATCTGGGTTACTGCTAGTTCTTATAGTATTAAGGTTGTGGCTATCTCGGCTACTGTACAGATCTCTGTAAAACTCTTCCGCTATTTTAACTATCCTATCCATATTGGTAGTTATTTTGCCTTCTTTGTTCCTTAGTGCATACATCCGACTTTTGCCTATCCCAAGTTTCCTCTTCACTGCTTTGACGCTTCCTCCGTTTTTCAGAGCGTGTTCAATTCTCTCCATGTTATACCTTCTTACATCGCATACTTTACGTCTATTAATCAACTTCGAAAGCTCTGTCAGTTCTATTTTGTCTGTTGTACTTGACACTTTCATGATTTGACGCTTCTTAATTAGATTCTTCGTTTCCTGGGAAAGCTTGCCAGTGTCCTGTCTAACTACCCTGCCTCCAACTTCCACTGCACACTCCGTAATGATACTCGTCAGATTATCATTCATTGTATCTACGCTAAGGTTGGTTTCCTCACTAAGAGCCGAGTGCCTGTTCTGCAGCGACACTCTGAATTCCTGTACTTTCCCTCTCAGTGCTAGCTCATTGATTGGCTTCTTTAAGAAGTACAGCAAGCTTTAAGAAGTACTAAATAAAACTTACCTCAACAATAAAAGCAGAGGTTCAACACAAGACAAAATTTATTTGAGACACAAAAAGTGGAAGCAAATAGTCGAGAATACGCAAAGCTTGTGTACGTTGCAGGCGTAGCGATAGCACTCGTCGCTCAACAGGAACCCTCAAAAGGTAAGCGTAGGACGTCAGTATTGGGCTGATGGCTATTTAACAGAATCATCCGCAGTTTCCTTCTGAAGAAATAAACTTTACCATCAATCCCAGTTTTAGGCACACGGCAGGCCAAACGCATCTTGGTGGCTTTCAGTTGCCGTCACCAGTAGCGAAGACAAAACTCGTAGACTCCGAAAGGCCTACCAGCGATCCTGTTGCCGTTGTTTAGTGCATGATCTATCACTTGCAACTTGAAAGCAGCCGTGTAGCTTGAGTATCGCCTCATAACGTGACTAGGTTACCGACACAACAATGCCAAACATGCTGCAACGCGCACTGGCCACTTCGGCTTGGCTTGGATTGGATTGCATCTTCGTGCAATAGTACGCTTGATGGTTAAGAGATGGCGCGCGCTATCATCATCAGTGGCTCATCATCTTGGCCTTGTATGGTGTCCATACAAGGCCAAGAAATACCGAGGGTAAGTGAATACAAGTACCTTGGAGTATGGGTAAATGAGAGTGATAGATACGTGGAGGTACAGGAAAAAGCCTCGGCAGCAAAAGGAAAGAGGAATGCGGCAATAATGAAGCACAGAGCGTTGTGGGGATACAATAGGTATGAGGTGCTTCGAGGTCTGTGGAAGGGTGTAATGGTTCCAGGGCTTACTTTTGGGAACTCAGTGGTGTGCCTGAGGGCAGAGGTGCAATCGGGAATGGATGTAAATCAAAGGACTGTGGGACGCCTCGCGTTGGGTGCTCACGGGAAGACGACAAACGAGGCTGTAAAGGGCGATATGGGGTGGGCAGGTTTTGAGGCGAGGGAAGCGCAGAGCAAATAAGGTTCGAAGAAAGGCTAAGAAATATGAAGGAGAGTAGATGGGCAAAGAAGGTGTTCCGTTATTTGTATAGGAAGAGCGTGGACACACAGTGGAGAAAAAGAACTAGAAGACTCACTAGTAAATATACGGCTGGTATTGTGAGCCATATGTCAACAAAGAGCGTTAAGGGAAAAGTCAGGAGGCGGAGAGGATTTACTGGATGGCAGCTATGGAGAAAAAACCGGCTTTGAGTAACTACCGAAAGGGCAAAAATGAAATAAGGAGGGAGGCATTTTACGATAATTCAAGGGGAAGCGCTTTACTGTTTGAAGCGAGATCGGGTTGCCTTAGAACGCGTAGTTATAAAGCAAGATTCAGTAAAGAAGAAGAACAATGCACATGCTGCGGGAAAGATAAGGAAACGGCGGAACATGTTCTGATTGAATGTGGAGATATCCACCCAGGTGTACGTTTGGGCACGAACCTACAGGAAGCCTTGGGTTTTAGGGACAACAATGGAAAGCTGAACACACCCGCGATTGAAATAAGTAAGAGACGGTTAGAGTATTGGTGGCAGAAAATTAGAGAGAAAGGACAAAAATAAATATTGGAAAAATAAAATATGGACAGTGTGCCGTAAATGGCAGAGAACTTAAGCTGAAAATTTACCTTTTTTCCATTAAGATAGAATTTATCGAAGTAGAGGCATTAGGCCAACATGAAAAAAAAGGGAAAAAAGATTTTTTTTTTTTTGTCGAGCCTGGTGGCATACTTGTCACCACCCCGTTATAAAGGGGACGCTCATAGCATCCATCCATCCAGTGGCTGGAACGAGCGGACGACATTATTGTGCCAGTTTTCAGGGATGCGATGATTACTCGAGGAAAAAAAGAAATCGTATTTTTGTTGGGCGATGTGGGGGGTGCGAGAATTATGTGAGTGTGAGGATTACGCGAGTAAATACGGTAACACCAAGGAAGAAGTGCACGGTAAACAGCACTGTTTCACGTTGACTGCGTAAATTTTTGACTGACTGCATTTATTCAACTGGAACAACAATATACACATTTCAGGAGAAGCCAGATGATCCAAGGATCACCTGGATACCAAATTCTACCAAGGAGGCTACCTGAGCTTCAAGGAATGGGCCACCAGCCACGACGGCTGACATGCTGTGCCTAGTGCCGGGCAGGGCTGGAGAGTCCTCGCCTCCTAACTCTAGCAGAGCAAGGATCGAGGCTGTAGAGTTAGAAGGCGCAGATATCCAACCAGAAGAGTTAAATTGAGACAATTGGTTCAAAATTAAATGCAGTCATAGAAGAATCAGTGATGACATAGACCCGTCAAGTAATAAGAGAACACAACTGGAAATCGGGATTTGGCGCTGACATGGCTGCCGGAAACTTGCATTGAGTATTTCTTCAGTTGATGCAGATGACAGCGATTGCCCGGGACGCCACAGCATCAGGGGTGTGTCCGGCTCTGCCGGACATTGCTGTGGCGCAAGACTTCTTCATTGAACTTCCTTGCTTTCTTGCGGTCCGAATTCCACTCGACATGACAGCACTGCCAGCGGTATCAACGTTCAGTTGCGAGCGGATATGCAGCTGGCAACGATGGAAGCACAGTGACAGCGAAGCACTACAAAAGCACACTCACCATTCAACCACTTTGGGATCTGGCGCCGACATGGCTGCCGGAAACTTGCGTCAAGTATTTATTAAGGTTAGTTACTTTTACCTCCCTGTATACGGTAGGCCATTCAAGAAATCGGCGCCAGATCCCACTGCTGTTCTTTGTTCGGTGCTTTGCTACCTGTCGGCCTTGCACGCGAATGCTGTCATGTGTGGTCATATAATGAAAACGATTTTGCTGTTATCTGGGGATATAGAGCAAAACCAGGCCCTCAAACACTGCAACAGGAAAAGCAGATGTTCGACACCATCACGACATTACCTTCAATGCAGATCTCTCAGTCTGCCATTCTTGATGAACTTGACGATTTGATAAAAGCAGCTAATAAAACTTTAGTCAATTTTTCGAAATGGTCCTGCCAAAATTCGTTACAGATCAACAGCTCTAAAACCAAGGCCGTTCTTTTCCGTGCGAAAGGAATGACATGTACGTACACACAAAAACTGATGCTAAATAATTTCAATATCGAACTTTCAGAGACTGTCAAAACTTTGGGCGTCATCTTTCATCAACATATGTTCTGGAATTCTCACACTGAACAATTGTGTATTAAGCTAAGAAAAGCCCTTGGCGTGCTGAAAAGGTGTCAGTCGTTTCTACCGCGCCCCCAGAAACTTCTTATCTTTTGAACTAGCTCTATCCAAGCTAACCACGAAGTGTTTCAACAAAAATAACAGAAGAAATACATTCAGTGCGAAAAGAGTAACAGGTGCTTGAGCAGCGAGTGGCAGATGTAAATGATAGATTAACGCGAGTAGAAAATAACACCCTCCTAGGTAACACGGGCAAAAAAGAACTTGAGCAACTTGCAGCTCAATGTGGAGTGCTTGTGCGTGCTGTCAGGCTATGAAAGATTGTCAGGACGACCTCGAAAGTAAGTGTACCCCTTTCTGTTATAGCGTCTTATTTTGGTTGCCTTTTTTCCCAATAATTGTTTGTTTGTAAACACCCAAGTGTGCATCTATTCTGTACTTCATAAACAACCACTAGAATGTTATTTTCTTTTCTTTTTGTTCTAGTGACTTGCAGCTCAAAATTGCCCCTAACGCAATCGAACGAAGTCACAGATTAGGCCGATATTCGGCAGCGAGGAAAAGGCCCGTCATAGTAAAGTTTCTATCTTTTAAAGAAAAAGAACGTATGCTGAAGTTTTTGGGCAAGCTAAAGGGAACCAACTTTGGAATTAGTGAAGACTATTCACCCAAAGTCAGGATAGAGAGGGAAAAAATAGATACAATACGCTAAAGGAAAGGGTGATGATTTTAAGCTTCGTTTCAATAAGTTATTCATGAATGACCAAATATTCCTGTATAACAGTGCTGAAGATAGAGTTGTGCCTAGTCGTAGATAGTAATCACCTCGAAATGCCGTTTTACGGACAAAAGAATTGAGAAAAAATGAACTAACATGCGTCGTAGTTAACTGTCGCAGTTTGAAAAGCAAAAGAACAGAATTTCTTTCGTTATTAGACATGACTGAACTACACATAGTTTTTGACACGGAATCTTGGCACGATACCACCATTGCACATCATGAATTCTTTCCGTCGACCTATGCAGTATGCTGAAGGGACCACACAGCGCATGGAGGTGGTGTATTCCTAATGATCCATAACAGTATCAGTAGCGTTCGTATTCATGGTGTTAGTGACTTGTGTGAATCTGTGTCGTGTAAGGTTATGTTGAGTGGTGGCTCAACTGTGGCTGTTGGTTCCTTCTACAGGCCCTTTAGTAATACAGCACCCGAGCCTTTATTTACTTTAAGCAATATTTTGTCAAGTCAACCCTAAATACAACATGCATAATGGTTGCCAGTGATTTTAACCTACCCGATGTTGCGTGGTCCTCATTCAAACCGATAATTCACAGTGAGTCACTACTACATAGAGCTATTCAAGAAATCGTGAATGCCCATCAGTTATATCAGCTTGTGACAGCCCCCACGAGGGTGTGCAGTACTAGTGCAAACGTATTAGACATGTTTTTTTTTTTTCAATGATCAAACGCTTGCTTCCTCTGTTGTTACAGTACCAGGTATTAGCGATCACGACGTTGTCCTTGTTAAAATGTGCTTAGCTGTAGCTCACCAACGAGCTTCGGGGCCCAGAAAGGTGTTTTTATATAAAAAAGGAGACTACGCTTCTATTTCAACAAAACTAGACGCTTATTTACCTGAATTTCAAGAACTATGCTCGTGTTTTGACGTGAATGGCTTGTGGAATGAGCTAAAAACAAAACTGTTATCTCTAACTCAAACTTTTGTACCATCACGAGTCATATCAGCTAAACAACGAAATGATAAACCATGGCTAAATAAGAAATCTGAGTGCTCATAAACAGAAGAGATCGTCTCTATCTCAAATATTGTCACATGTCAGAGCTTGAAACATACAAACAGATAAAACTACTTGGTAAGAAGATAAGCAAAGATCCGAGGAAAGCAGAGAGAGCATACTTGAGTGATCTGAGTATTAAGGGGAAAACTAACCCGAAACTCGTCTGGAAATAGGTTAAAAGAAAGACAAATGTTCCTAGTGGTATTCGTGATATAAACGATGGTACTAAATACTTGTCGGACAGTACAAGTAAAGCTGAATGCTTTAACCGGTACTTTCAGTCTGTGTTTTCGGTTTCGTCAGCGGTTCAAACTACATAGTGAAACACAGTAACGTTATCGAAAATGGTGGAGTTTGAAATTTGAAAACAAGGTGTTGCATCTCTTTCAAAAAACCTTAGTGCGAACTTGGCATCAGGGCCAGATCAAATCTCAAACTTCATTTTAAAGAACTGTGCCCTTTCAATAAGCCCATTTCTTACAGCTGTGTTTAGAAATTCTTTATTGCAGGGTGCATTACCTGATGACTGGAAACGAGCCAATGTAATTCCTATTTTCAAGAAAGGTGGCAAGTCAAGTACTTGCAACTATCGGCCCATTTCGTTAGCGTATGTGTCCTGTAAGACACTTGAGCATGTTATATACTCGAACTTGGCAAAGCATCTTCAGACTAACAATTTTTCTCTGTCCAACACAGCACGGTTTCCGGAAAGGTTTTCCTGCGATACGCAACTCGTAGAATTTACACATGACATCACCGCAACGTTAAATTCCGGTAGCCAAATTGATTGCATTTTTTTAGACTTTAGCAAGGCTTTTGACACTGTTACACACTCGTTACTTTTACTGAAATTATGTCTCAATATATCTGTAACACACTGGCATGGGTACAAGCTTATTTCTCGTGCAGGAAGCAATGCACCATCATCGATTGCGCGTTGTCGTCACATGTAGACGTCATTTCAGGAGTGCCACAAGGCTCCGTCCTGGGGCCGCTTCTCTTTTCGATTTATATCAATGATCTTGCTGAATGCGTGGACAGTCAAGTGAGGTTGTATGCAGATGACTGCTGCATATATCGTGAAATTAAGTGGACTCAAGATTCTGAACAACTGCAGAAAGACCTTGACTCGGTAATAGCATGGTGCAGTACGTGGGAAATGCAGCTCAACGTGTCAAAGTGCTGTGTCGTTAGGTTTATCGAGAAAAAGCAGCCTTTTATCACAAATTACTTCATGGAAAGGATACCATTATCCATGATAAATGAATACAAGTATCTTGGTGCTGTCATCAACAGCACACTATCGTGGAATGATCATGTTCGCATGGTATCATTTAAAGCCAGTCGCGTGCTGAACTTCCTGCGCCGCAATTTCAGAACCACCCCCTCTGTTCTTAAACAAATTCTCTACGTGTCAAATGTACGCCCGATTTTAGAATATATTTGTACTGCCTGGGACCCGGCCACAATGTTGGATATTGATGCATTAGAGCGCATTCAGAAACGTGCCGCCCAGTTTGTGACGGGTGATTACGACTTCACCAGAAAGTCTAGCGAAATCGTTAGTTCACTTGGTTGGCTGTTACTCTCCTCAAGGCGTAAATATACCAGGCTGTGTCTTTTCTACAACCTAATAAATGACAAAACTGGGATCGATAAAAACAAATACATCAGACCACCAACATACATCTCATCACGACGAAACCATTCTTTGAAAGTGTGTGAATATATGTGCCGAACATCAATGTATGCAACTACTATTTTTCCTAAAACTATACACAAATGGAACAGTTTTCCAAAAAACATTGTAGACGCCCCTTCCACAGCGTTTCCTTCCCTTTTAAAGGAGTATGTGGCCACACAATGATATTGTATGCTGTGATTTAGGTATTTTTTATTTGTTTTTTATTTTTGTGTGCCGTGCAATTCAACTTGTCCCCACTGATTTAAATGTACTTTGAATTTGTAAACCACCCTACAACAATGCCCCCAGAGGGCGCTGTAGGTATAAGTTTAAATAAGTATAAATAAACTATATGTACAGCAAGCTACTACTTAGAGAAAGGGCAATTTCAACAATAATTCGTCGGGATCCACATGACAATCTTACCAAGATGACTACAGGAGAAAAAATCAGATTCGACATGACTGGACAAACTACAGATCACATCTTTAGGGTGTCCTACATCGTTGTCGTTTAACAGTGTAACAAAAATACCCCTCCCCCCAAAAAAAAATTGTGAGGAAATGCAAATGCGTTGCGTAGTGTTCCTAACGGCATTTCGCATGTGAGAACCCAGCGTTTGTAAAATAATGTTTTCTTTTTTTTCTTACACCATGCATCCAATAGCGCCTTGCATCACACATAACATTTTTCTGTCGCAAGAAACGTTGTATGCATTCCCAGCTCTAGTAGCTAGTCTGCATGGATAAAAATACTATGAAGCTACCAAGAGAAACAGCGTTCTCGGCTCAGCGGTGGAGTTTCACAGCGGCATCTCTAGCACACATTTCCAGATATTCTTGAGAGGCGCCCAGCCAGCAAATGGTCGGAAGGGAGGCGTGAGTGGACGAGAAAGTGGGGCGCTGAGAGGAGAGAGAGCAAATGGCGAGAGGAGGAGCGGTGAAGCACTGTACCTACCCTCTCCTACACTCTCTCGCACCACATGCTCCAGTTGCTAGAGGCAATGATAAG